ACAATCTAAAGAAAAAACAGAGTACTATTTAATGCCCTCTGTCTATAGCACTCTTCTGTCTTACTTAAGCCCATGTCCACCACAAAAAGGTTCAGTCTTCAGATAAGAATACAGCAAAGACACAGTGAGAAATACTTGCAGAAGTGCATCAATGTCTTTGGGACCAATGTTTGCTAGCAGCTCAAACGTTGGCCTCATTCAGACTATGATTTAAACTTATTTGCAAATTGGATTAAAGGTAAAGGTATTCCTTGTTGACAAGGTTGTCAAGTCTTGTCCGACTGTAGGGGGCAGTACTCATCTCTGTTACTAAACCAAAGATCCAGCATTGTCAGAGACTACTCTGTGATCATGGGGCCAGTATGATTGCAAAGAATGCTGTTTACCTTCCCACCGAAGTGGTCCCTATTTATCTACTTGCATTTTCATGCTTTCGAACTGCTAGGTTGGCAGAAGCTGGGACTCGTAATGGAAGCTCACCCCATCATGCAGCACTTGGGCCTCAAACTGCCAAACTGCTGATCTTGCAATCAACAGAGTCCGTGTCTTAACCACTTGAGCCACTGCATCCTGAAAATTGGATTAAACCGGCTTATATGTGCACCCTGCACTGATGTTTCTAACCTTTATATTGTAACAATTTTAACCTTAGTAAGCCGCCTTGATCATATCCATGGAAAGGCGGGGTAAAAATAAAATTTATTACTATTATTATTATATGTGCCTTGCACTCGAGCCCATTTCAAACCCAATTATGTTCAAGCTGAATCTAGGTGAATTGACACAAGTCCTCCTGAACTGGTTCTTTTGAAGATGGATCTTTTAGCGTTTCTTATGAAAAGAACTGGTTTGCAACAGTGCTGAGCCAATGTGAAGGCACTTCCGATCACATTCAGGGCACCCATCTCACAATGGAGGGAGGGACAATGGGCAGAGGGTGGGCAGAGGGGTGGTACCCATCCCACCACAGGTCTTGGCAAACCACCATTTTTCCCCTCTCAGCGTTGCCATGGGACTGTCGAATGGCTTCTGTGTGGCTGTGGATTTCGATTTCCAGTGCAGCCAAGTGGTCCCTTTAA